GAAAAACCTGTATGCAAGTCAGGAAGCAACAGTTAGAACGGGCCATGGAGCAACAGACTGATTCCAAATAGGAAAAGGAGTACGTCAAGGCTGTATATTGTCACCCTGCTTATTTAACTTATATGCAGAGTACATCATGAGAAACGCTGGGCTGGAAGAAGCACAAGCTGAAATCAAGATTGCAGGGAGAAGTATCAATAACCTCAGATATGCAGATGACACCACCCTTATGGCAAAAAGTGAAGAACTAAAGAGCCTCTTGATGAAAGAGGAGAGTGAAAAAGTTGGCTTAAAGCTCAACATTCAGAAAACTAAGATCATGGCATCTGGTCCCATCACTTCATAGCAAATAGATGGGGAAACAGTGGAAACAGTGTCAGACTTTATTTTTTTGGGCTCCAAGATCACTGCAGATGGTGACTGCAGCCATGAAATTAAAAGACGCTTATTCCTTGGAAGGAAAGTTATGACCAACCTAGATAGCATATTAAAAAGCAGAGACATTACCTTGCCAACAAAGATCCGTCTAGTCAAGGCTATGGTTTTTCCAGTGGTCAGGTATGGATGTGAGAGTTGGACTGTGAAGAAAGCTGAGTGCCGAAGAATTGATGCTTTTGAACTGTGGTGTTGGAGAAGACTCTTGAGAGTCCCCTGGACTGCAAGGAGATCCAACCAGTCCATCCTAAAGGAAATCAGTCCTGAATGTTCACTGGAAGGACTGATGCTGAAGCTGAAACTCCAGTCCTTTGGCCACCTCATGCAAAGAGTTGACTCATTGGAAAAGACCGTGATGCTGGGAGGGATTGGGGGCAAGAGGAGAAGGGGACGACAGAGGATGAGATGGCTGGATGGCATCACCGACTCGATGGACATGAGTGTGAGTAAACTCCAGGAGTTGGTGATGGACAGGGAGGCCTGGCAATGCTGTGATTCATGGGGTCGCAAAGAGTCGGACACGACTGAGCGACTGAACTGAACTGAAGTTTACCTCCTGACAAGACTACAATCTGCTTATAATCACAACTTGGAATATAAGAGTGATCATAATATAAGACATACAGATGGCAAAAAAACACATGAAAAGATGCTCAACATCACTCATTATCAGAGAAATGCAAATCAAAATCACAATGAGGTACCATTACACACCAGTCAGGATGGCTGCTATCCAAAAGTCTACAAGCAATAAATGCTGGAGAGGGTGTGGAGAAAAGGGAACCCTCTTATACTGTTGGTGGGAATGCAAACTAGTACAGCCGCTATGGAAAACAGTGTGGAGATTTCTTAAAAAACTGGAAACAGAACTGCCATATGACCCAGCAATCCCACTTCTGGGCATACACACCGAGGAAACCAGATCTGAGACACATGCACCCCAATGTTCATCACAGCACTGTTTATAATAGCCAGGACATGGAAGCAACCTAGATGCCCATCAGCAGACGAATGGATGAGGAAGCTGTGGTACATATACACCATGGAATATTACTCAGCCATTAAAAAGAATTCATTTGAATCAGTTCTAATGAGATGGATGAAACTGGAGCCCATTATACAGAGCGAAGTAAGCCAGAAAGATAAAGACCATTACAGTATACTAACACATATATATGGAATTTAGAAAGATGGTAACGATAACCCTATATGCAAAACAGAAAAAGAGACTCAGATGTATAGAACAGACTTGTGGACTCTGGGAGAGGCGAGGGTGGGATGTTTCAAGAGAACAGCATCGAAACATGTATATTATCTAGGGTGAAACAGATCACCAGCCCAGGTTGGGTACATGAGACAAGTGCTCGGGCCTGGTGCACTGGGAAGACCCAGAGGGATCGGGTGGAGAGGGAGGTGGGAGGGGGGACTGGGATGGGGAATACATGTAAATCCATGGCTAATTCATTTCAATGTATGACAAAACCCACTGCAATGATGTAAAGTAATTAGCCTCCAACTAATAAAAATAAATGGAAAAAAAAAAGAGTGATCCTAAAAGTCTTCTAGCATGTTTTACCTTTCGTTTCATTCATTCATTCATTCATTCTTTCATTTAACTCAAGCATTGAAATGAATGCTGCATGTACAGTGATGAAGGAAACACAGGTTCTTGACTCTTGGAATTTACCATGTGGGGGCAATGGGGCGGGGTTGAGGGGGAAGATAGTTAATAGATAAGAAAAGAAATATAAAAAAAAAACCCACAGTAATAGAGAACAATTGTGGGTACTATGTTGGTGAGAGGTAGGAGGGAAACATCTTAAACAGGGTAGTTAGATCTTTGAGACGTGAAGACTGAAGAGGAACCAGCCAGGAGAAAAGGTAGGAGGGTGGTCCAGGTAAGTGCACAGCATGTATCAAAGCTTGAGAGTACAGAATTATCAAGAAACTTGAGGAGGTTTCTGGGTGGAAGTGTTATGGGAAAAGAGAAAAATGGTAGGACATGAAGTTGGAGAAACAGAGGGGGCTAGATCAAAGAGGTATCATGGCCACAACTAGGAATTTAGATATAGTGGGAAATAATAAGGATTTTAAGTAGGAACATGCGGTTTCATTTATATTTTCAAAAGAATATTCTTGCTGCTTTGTGGAGAACAGATTGAAGGGAGCATCCAAGGTATTCAAGATATTCAAGAGGAGACATTGGGGAGACAATTGGACATGTGTGTTTGGAACCCAAAGGTTAGGTGTAGGCTGTAGTTACAAATTTGTGAGTCATTTCAATCATTCCTAGAGTTCCAACAACAAAGCATAAAAATCTGAAGCCACCATGCTTTTCAGCTAACCTTTCTGTAGTAGTGTATAATTTACATTTGACCATCACAATTCTGAGATGCCTTTTTTCTCACTGTAAAGATAAATACCCTGATGCTCAAATAAATTATTTAACTTGCTCAGTGTGTCTTAGTGCTAGTCAGGATTGAAGTCTAGACCTTTGATTACAAAGTCTTCAATATCACATCATACTATTGACTTCCTTCTATTTTAAAGGATCTAGAAAGGATAAGAGTGACTAAAACATGAAGAATTCTTCTAAAAAAAAAAACAAAACCCTGACAGTATATTCCCTATTAATGCATACCAAGCTTCCCATGTTCCTATTTACTTTAAACTGTAGTAGTAAAAGTAGGAATGTCAAGGAAAGGGTGGATAAGAGTGGTATTACGAACAAAACAGAAAGGACACAGGGTCCCAGAGAACTAGGGGAAGAAATTGAGCAAGAGATGTAAAAACTACACAAAAAGCAACATCATTAATAGCCACTACTAATATGGGGTTTTTTATGTACCAGGTACTATTAGACACACACATTCCATCTACCTGTTCTATCTTCTCTCAATTATCCTGAGACATGATTGTTATTACCCTCATTTGACAGATGAGGGAACTGAAAAACAGACTCAAAGTCATGCAGATATTAAGTAGTGGGGCTGGGATACATCCTGGCAGTAAGTTTCCAATTCTGTATTTTAGCCACTATGCTGTATTGCTTCCATCAAGACATCAACTGTGGAAACCAGTTAGGAATGGGGTTGGAAATGTTCCTTTTAAATTATAGCAAGGCAGACAAGAAAGAGCAGAATATTTGAGTTAGATAAATTGTGTTCAAGGAGAGGATTTAGGCTAGGGGACAAACTATGAGGCAGGGTTTTTGTTTTAGGGAAAAGTGGAATCTGGAAGCTGGAAATGTGATTAAAAATATGTGGTCCAGTTTTCTTCTTGGAGAGTATGGGGAGAAGGGTTAAGTTGTGAACTGAATCATGGGGAATGTTTGAGTAGTGGCAGAAGACCAAGCAGAAAAATGGGACTATCAACAGGTGTTGGTAAATGATTAAATACAGAACGTGAGAGAGGAAGGAGTCAAAGATGAACGTGATGTGTTTCTAGTGACTGAGAGGACCATGGAATCATTAAAAGGGGCAAAGGTATTTTTGAAGATATGATGCAGAATATGAAGAGAGATCACTTTCTCTAGAAAATCCAAACATCCACATCCTAGGAAAAGCATTCAAAGCCTCTTGTCTAACTGAAACCTTCCTAACCAGTATTATTAACCTTGCCTCCTCTCTTGCTACCACTGTGAGAATTCATGATCGCAAGTGATAGACAACCTCTCACTGGTTTAAGCAATGAATACATGTTAAGAATTTATTGACTAACTTAACTGAGATTTCCAGAGTTATCTAGTCCACAACGGATTCCGTGCATCCAATGTGTCTCCAGGCCAAATCTCCATTTTTGAACCTGCTTTATTCCACATTGCATTCTTTCTCAGAATCTGTGAGTAGGAAGATGTGTTCAGGTTTCCATTTTTTAAGACTTAACTCCACTGGAAAAGAGATCACCCTTCTTAGTTAAATCCAAACTAAGGTAGAGGATTAACTCAAATGTGTTTTCCTCTGGAGTCCTGCCCCCTCCAGCCAAATGGTCTGAGAGTGAAGAAAGGAAAGTTCTCCAAAGGAAATGATCAGAATAGGGAATGAATGCTAAGCAGGAAAAAAAATATTCATGGGGTCTCAAAGAGTCGAACACGACTGAGCGACTGAACTGAACTGAACTGAACTGAAAATCTCGTCTGCTATAAGGTGACTCTTATCACGCTCACCCATTCCGGACAGAATCTTCTGGTGAATGATAGGGATCTGAATAGTTCCTCAGTTTCGATGTTCTTTTTCTCTTGAGTACACAGCAAGAATCTGAAGTGTTCACTGAGATGAATGTTACCTTTGAGGGAGGATTTTATAGTCACAACAGTTTATTTTTTAAAAGAAGATAAAACGGTTTCTATTTCAAAGAACAATCATTAAAATATGAAAACTACTAGGAATTAGAAATGTAGACTTTTTCCCAATAATTTTTAGCTACTGAAAGTTGCTTTCCCTTGTGGACCAACTGTATAAACCATCAAGGAAAGTAATTTCCCCCTAAGATAAGGGGGAAAACATTCACGCGTTTTTCTACAAGGGAAGCGGTACGAGCTAGGATCCTGGTTTCCGTCCAGTGCTTCATCTCCCATCTTCCTTAAGGCTAGGTAAAAAACTCCAAAGGAGCACGTCCGTTATCTTCTTTGGCTTCCGCCCTCCAGCCAAGGACTCACGTCCGGTCTCCCCAGGCCCACTCTCCAAAAAGGAGCGACTAAAGCGGTGCACTTCCCGGGGAAGAGAGAGGAGGAGTCTGGAGCGCCAGTCACCTTCACAAATGCCCTCTTCCCGTCCCAAGAGACGAAACGCAAGGGATGCCACTGGAGGCGGGGAAAAAGTCTTTTCGCCCGCCCGATTGATTTTTTTTCCTGGCACTGGCAAAGTGATTTGCTTTTCGAGAAAGAGAAGGTCCCCTTTCTCTTTCGAGAAAGAGAAGGGATGGCTTCGGGATCCCTCATCCAAGAAACTCTCCCCTGTCCTCGCTTCCCGCATCCAGGGTAAAAGCCAAAGCCACCCTGATCTAAAGCCACCCCAATCTGAACTCCCGGGACCGGCCGCACCCTCCGCAGTTAACCAGGCCCCGCCTCCCCTGCTTTCCAGTAACCGGTGCGAGGAAGGGGGCGCCGGGGAGATCTCGGCTTTTTTGCACGCCTGGCGGCAGCCGCGGATCGCGCAGACGCGTAGCTCTAGGGAGCAGGAGTCTCCTCCGGCGCCCGGGATCCCCAGCGCTGCTCGGAGCTGCCTAACGGGGCACATCGCATGCGCACCGAGACGCACCCGGGAAAGGGAGAGTGAGGGGAGGGACGAACGAAACGCGCCGGCAGTTGGAGCCCGCAGGGGGTCACTGACTACGCATGCGCCGGGAGGGAGCGCAATCACAGACTCATCTTGCGGCTACCGGCTTAAAAAAGGAAACCCTCGAGCCCGAGAGCGCGAAGGAAATCTGGCCGCCGACGCTTGCGCGCTCCCGGTGAGTGGCGCCCCGCCGGGTGGGCCTGGGGCCTGACGTCCGCCGGCAGGCTTGCCTGAGCGGCGCATGCGTGATCCCGGCCGGTGGAGGAGGGGAAGGGAAGGGAGGGGGAGGAGTTGAGGGCGGCTGTAGCGGTGAATTTTTGGGGGGTGGGTTGGGGGCGCCACTCAGCCCCAGGTGCTGCTAGAGCTGGGAGCCGCAGCGTCTTCAGGACGCTGCCAGGCTAGTGGTTCCGAGTCGCCGCAACTGGTCTCCAGGGTGCGGGAGGGAAGAAGCCGGAGCCGCCGCAAGCCACACGGTGAGGGCGCCGGGAAGTGGGGGGAGCGGGAGGGCGGTGTGTGTGGGGCCGGGGGGCGGCGGCCAGGGGAGGGGCGGGCTGGCGCTGAAGCCCAAGTTCTGCTTATCGCTCGAGTGTGTCTTTCCTCGGGAGTTGGGGTGGAGGCCCGCCCCGTTTGAAGGGCCTTTCGGGACAGCTGGGGTTACCTGCGGGGCAGGGGCGGGATTGGGGTGCGCGGCGGGGCCGGGTGGCCGGAGCGCGCCCTTGGGTTGGGGCCGATCCGAGCGGCCGAGCGGCGGGGAGAGCCGAAGAGCCGGTGCGGAGAGGGCTTTCGCTGGGGACCCGCTAGGCCTTGTGACCCACTTTATTCCTGTCACAACTCGGGCACGTTTGGAGCGGCGCCCAATGGGGCGCCGGGACGGCCAGCTCCTTCGGGGAACCCCCGCCCTCGCGGCTCCAGGCCCGCGCGCCGCGGCCCGCAGTCCGAGCGGTGGCCGCCGCCGCCCGTGGGCTGGTTCCGTTAGTGGTCGCGGTTCCGGGGCTGGGTCCCCGGGGAGCGCGCTGCTCCTCGCGTCCGACTCGAGCCGCCGCGCGGGTTCGAAGGCTCCGGGGCGGCGCCGGTCTTCCTTGAGTCCACCCGCGCCCGCCCGCTCCGGGTCACCGCGGCGGCTGATTCTTATGGAAACCTTTCCGCCTGCGAAGCTGGACTCTACCTGGTCCCGGCGTGCTGGCCCCGGGAGTGTAATTTCCGACGCGTAGCGCCGCAGAGCTTACATTCTTGTGTGCGTTTTCGCTGGTGTACAACTCGTCCTGTTGCTAATAGCAGAATCCTGAAAGGTAAAAACCTCGGCCTCTGACTTTGGGGAATGAAAGATCGAATCAGGTGGCGGCTGCTTGCTATTAGAATGCCACGCTGTCCGACTTGAAGGCTTTCTAACCTTAAAAAAGAAAAGCAACAACAATGTTTTCTTTTACAGCGAAAGAAAAGCACTAGAAGGAACTTTTAGTCATTGTTGATTTGGCTGTTAACGCTGATGCCTCAATCAAAAAAAGGTAATTTCACTTGAAGTCTGCATTCTAATTTGTACCTTCATTTTAAGTGATAAAATTGTGCGACGTTTTCCGTCTACCTGGTTGGAAAATAAACGTTCTAAAAAAGATGTGATTTAAATAATGAGTTACTTTGTTTTTAGATCTTGGCGGGGGGGGGGGGCGGGAGAAACTGTGAAGTAGTTAACTGTATAGAATGTCATTAAAGTTTAGCCTGAAGAAGATAGATGAAAGTTGTGGTAGTCATAAACAGCTGTGAAAACGAATGAGGAAGGTTTGTGTGTAATAACATGGAAAGATCTCCAAAGTATGTTATAAAGTGAAAAAAACAAGATATAGGACAAAGTGAATAATGTGCTACTTTGTGTAATAACGAGGCACCCATGGAATAGGAATATAAATTTGTGTTGTTTTTATAAGTATAAAGAAACTGACGGGGGAGGTTAGTGGACGATTGATAATGGTGGGGAGAGGGAGGAGTAACCTGATGAGGGGATGGTGGGAAATGACAAGTACACTGTATGCCATTATGTTTTGAGTATTTGTGACTATATTATGGATTTGTAAACTAGATTAAACAAAAATCCTTCTCTCCAAAATAACTTGCTCAAGGAATTTGTCTGTCTTTCCTAATTTGTAGTAATTTTGGCCATTTTTAATATGGTTTCTCTCAGTGTTTTTTTTTTAGGGGAAACGACCTAAACTTGACAGAAAGTTTTAAGTATGGCTATCTAGGCTCCAGTTTTTAAGATGTTAATATTGCAAATTTAACTTTTAAAAATCTTTAGTCATATTTTGCTTTGCTAAAATATGTGACATTATTTACATTTGACATTTTGGCTTATGCTGTGTTCAGAGCATAGTTTTTCCTCCTGCTTTTTCCCTAGAAGTCCTAGTTGTATAGAGTTTTACTTTTGCTCTTTTTAACCCCAAAGTTGTGATGAAAAGTAGTTGGGAGAATATGAACTCTCCATTAAAATGATAATGGAATTGATTGTCTAGATAGTTTGCTTTTCAGATGGGGAAATGCTTTTCTCAAGGCAGTCAGACATGAACTGCATGTAAATTTATATGTGTGTGTGTTTAGAGAGAGATCCTGGATATAGATACAGTGCTTACAGAGAATTAAAATTGAGAGTCAATGTTATGTTGGTGCAAATGCTAAAATTTTTTTATGACTTAATGGATTGCTGAAAACAGTATGTAATTTCAGGGGGGAGGGTACTCAAAATTCCTCTGGTGGCTAATATCTTATAATCAGAGTAGTGAATGTTGAGTAGTGGGTGACAGGTGCTATGGGCATTTTTGTTGTGTTTCCAGCATTCCTTTTTATTTTGGAGGCTAGGATAATTTTGTAATTTCTCTTTGATCTGTAGGTCTCTGGTAGTTAAATTTCTGCAAATGGCATTAATTTTCATTTGAATTCCATATAGGTCTGTTCATTCTTTTTGAAAAACATTAGAGAAGTAAGTCAGTGTTCAGGAAAAATTTAGACAAGGCAATGTATTTATAATAGGTGAAAACACTTTTTACATCCTTCTATCACATCTTTCCCCAGAGATAACTACTGTTACGTTGTTATGTAACCTTTGAGTTCTTTTTCTGTGTATTTATATAGACCTTTAAGCTCAAAAATTAAATTGTCTTGATGGTCTGCTTTGTCAGTTTGTCTCTGCTGTGAGCTCTGTTACCACTCACAGGACAAGGAAACGACCTGGATTGGATATGTCAGAAAGTTAAGCAACTGAGCCTCTCCTGGTCCTCTGACGTGAACCTAGGCATGCTTTGTCTTTAAATAAGAGACACTGATTTACTTGGAAGGACTCCAGCAGGGGAAACAGGAGAAGAAGCCTTTTGGTCTGGATTTTGCTTTAATGACAGCAGACAAGTTGTACACATACTCCTTCTCATAACATTACCTTTCTAATAGTTCCAGAGGTGTTTTTTGGTGGTTGTTTTGTTTCATTTTGTTTTTAAACGGAGCTAGAATAATGACTAAGACTTCATTCTTTTCAGGTGATAGAGAGTTGGCTATTAGTCAAGACTCTTTACTAACCTGTGAGATACATAGAAGGATGCAGTACAGTGGACCCTTCCCTGAAGAGTTGGACATGACTGAGTGCACACACACCCTTAAAAGAGCATGTGTGTAATGATTTAACACAAGTTAGGAAATGGTAGATTCCAGGAGAAAAACGTACCTAAGGTTTGTAAGAGTAAGACTGTTTCCAGCTTTTTATTTTTGTGGGCATGGGGTTTGAATGGAGAGTAGAGATATATCGTGACATTTAAAATAGGAAAGGATAGAGCAAATTTAGTTTGTCTTAGCTCTTAAGGGGTAAGAAAGTAAGGTGTTGTGTCCTCATAGCAGGCACTAATTGAAAGCTTATTTTTGTTTTTTTACTCTCTCCCACTAGAAAGAACCATTTGATGTTTTACTTGATAATTATAATACAGTCTCAGATTTCAGGATTTGGAGAAGTAATAGGGGATTTAATTCTGACGGTTAACTGTTTTCTGGCATCTAATGTTTCAGGCAGTGTTAATACTAAAAGTAAATTGTTTTTTCCTGTCATTTTTTCCTCAAAGCACATATTTAATGTACCTGCTCCCCCGCATTTTTACTTCTTGTGCTGTGTCAAATAAAATACTTATTTTCTGAAATATTTTAAACTATGAAAGCAAACAGCATTATGGTGAAAAATCTGTCAAAGTTCCTCATTCAGCAAAATTTGTATTTCTATTTGTATTTCTTTCCAGTTCTTTGCAGATGCATAAAGTTAAAAAAAAAAAAAAGAGGGAAACTTTCATAGTTTCTTGTAGGTATTGTCCCACAGTATTGTACATTGTATTTTATCCTTTTCTGAGTCTAAAATTCTAGGTGGAATTGTATGAATTATAGAAAACTTTTTTAGTGTCACAACAGTTTAATCTTACTAATTTACTGTAATTGTTAAAATGGCATTTATATTTATAGGTTACTTTACAACCATCTGTTAGTCATTTTTATAGCTTTGTTGGGTGTAACTTCTGTGAATTAGGTGGGTAAGAGATTCCTGTTTTTCTCTATGTTTTTGATTATATGAATATTAGATTACCTAAGCTCATCCTTGTAAGTATAATGTCATCTTTGAGTTATTACTTGTTTTAGGTGTGTATTTTACAAAGATGTCATTCTACTTACTATTTTAAGTGTTAGAAGTTTACAGAAAAATCACTTTTGAAAAATAAATTTTTATGTGTTATTTTTAACCTTTATAAGATACTGTTTAGAATGTGATTTACCTTTTATTTTTCAGAAATATTTCTGGAAAACAGGGTAGGTATCTATGAAGCAGTTTGCACACACTCCATTAAAATTTAAGCTATAATATTTTTTACAGAGAGTTTGTTTGATTGCTTCAAAACTTCCTTAAAAGGAAAATCTTAATACTAAGAAAGAATACTTTCACCCAAAGA